AGCGGCGCGCCTGTCCGGAGCTCGGAGGCGGCGGCGGCGCCTGAGAAGGCTGAGGCGGCGGCGTGCCCGGACGAGCGCCCAGAGGTGGCGGAGGAGGCGCCGGGGGCCCCCATGGGCGGGTGTGTGGGCGCCCAGCACGACTCCTCGGGCAGCCTCAACGAGAACTCGGAGGGCACCGGAGGTAGGTGAGCGCCAGGGGGCAGCCTCGGCCCCCATTGTTCCCGGCCAGGCCCGGCCACCTGTCCCGACCCCCGCGGCCGCGCGGCCCCCGCACCCTTTGTCGTCTGCTGCTCCACGTCACCCCCGCGCCCCGCTTCCGGCCGCCCCGCAGGCTGCGGGGCTCGCCCTGCCCTCCTGCCGCGGGAGAAAGTCCTCCGCGCGCCGGGGACGCAGCGCTCGGCCTCGCCGGCTGCACCGCCCGGCTCGGGAAACTCGGACCCGAAACTGCCCTTCTGGCCACCGCACTCTCTCTCCAGCCCGTTTAATTATTCAGGAACAGGATGGCGGCGCTGGGGTTGCAGAAAAGCGGATTGATGGGGGGTGGCGATGAGGGGGAGAGCGCCTAATGCGTTCCCTCCGACGGGCCCCGCCACATCTCTCCGCACCCTTCCTTGTTCAGCAGAGTTGGCTGGGCTCAGCTTTCCCGAGTTTCAGATGACAGCTGCCCTGGTTGGTTCCAATTTGGCCATTTAAACCAGGGAGTTTCTGGAGCTCGGCTGGAGAAGTCTCAGGCGGCCCCAGGCGTTACATTGAGGGCAGGGCAAACGGTCTCCTGGAGTAAAACGCGACTTTTTTACACTGCAGGGGGGTTTGGAGCCTGTGTCCTGCTGGGTTGGACTTGTCAAATTCTGATGCGTCTCGCGTAAAAGGAAAATATGTAAGATAAAAGTACTTATGAGAGTCTGACTTACCTCAGTTACAGGATCAGTACTTTAATAAAAGTTTGGTGTGTTGTTTTTTTTTTTTTAAATTCAACACAGAAGGCACTTTTTCAGCTTTATGGTAAATAGCTGTGTGTTGACAGGTATTTTAAATTTGCTTATTGGTAGTTGTAGTACATGGCAGAATAATACTGAAATTCGACGTTAAGTGACCTGTAAAGTGCTGAGTCTGTTATTAGGATGCCTAAAAGTTAGAATGTTTTAGATAAAAGAATAGCTTTCAGGAGTAGCAAAGAAAACGGCGTTGGTTTGATTTCGACCTGATGCTAACCTGTGTTGCCCATATTTATGTTTCTAAAGTAAACTGGGAAGTAGAAGGGATTACACACTCATAATTTACTAACATTTACATCAGTTGCTTTCCCAGTCACTTAAATTCTGCTCATGAACACTGTGCGCCTAACTTTTTGGCTGAATTTCCTGGATTACAGGTTGTTCAGCCATGCCACTTCATTGAAATCTGTGGGTACCCTGTATAATCCTGGACAGATAATGTGCGAGCTCAATAAATGTTGTCTTGAAAACAGAAGTCCTCGAAAATGGTACTTTATAGTACATTTCATGTTACAGCGTAGTCACTTGTGGCACATTAATGAGATCCTCAGTGAAAATAAAGGTAGAAAATAAGGGTCGGATTTAAAACAGCTTTGGGTTAAGGTCAGATTGGTGATCAAAGTGATTCTTCATCTAGTTGAAGTGATAGTTAAGGGTACCCACGAATATTAGTACTTGTTATAGTGTTTAATTTTAATTTGATTTTTTGCATTTATGTTAAAATTGTAATTTTTTTCTTCTCTGTAATAAACATGAACCAATTTTTTAAAGACTACCAGGCATTTTAGTACCGAATTTTACAGCTGAAATCGTACGTTTGTGTAACTTATAAGCAGTGGTATCCAGTTAGATAGCTATAGTACCAGTTCCTTTGAGGATTAAGTTCTCTGGACCATAAACACTGCTCTACTTTTCCACAGAAAAGTTTAGATAAAAGAATACCAACCTCCACCCTTCTTTATTTTCTTCTGGAGGGCATGACCCTGATATAACTGGGGTGGGGGAATGGGGTATGGGATGAAAGGATTACTCTGGAATTTAATTATAGAACCCTTTATTCTCCATTATAGTTATGGCAGTTAAGAGTTAATTGTCAGTTAATGAAATTAGCTCAGGTGTGTCAGGTTAACATGTTAAAGCATTCTTTTTGGGGGATGTGAAAAGAGGGAGAGAAGTGATGTTGCCACACATCCTTAGCTTTTCATACATACAGTGGTGATTAGTAGTTTTAACCTGGAGATATTGTTATGAAAATTGTTGTTATCAACATAGTATTAATATTATGAGCAAAATTGTACATATATCAAGAAAAGCTTCTTTATTAGGTGAATTACTTTCCTGAAGGAATTTGGGGAGTTTTTGCACAAGATCATAGAATATACGAATGACTTAGTTCATATTACAAGATTCTTATTATCTATTTTGGAATCCTTTAGTATATTCCTCTGGCATACCTTGGCTAGAATTCAGATTTGCTTCTATAAAATCATTTTAATAAATTTAGGTATAGCATAGAAGTTATGCAAGATTACTTGACAGTTTTCTCCAAGGTTTTATTTTCCTAGAATTTCCCAGTGTGTTGACCTTTTGGCTTTTTTTTTTGTATTGGGAATTGAACTCAGGACCTTACGCTTGCCAGGCAGGTGCTGTGCCGCTGAGCTATATCCCTGGCACAGGTGGCATTTTGAACAGCATATTCTTCATGGTTCTTTTGTTTATTATGATAGTGTGATCTAGGTGTTGGTCCTTCAGACCTCTAGACAAAATTTTAGCTATGGCATTTGCTAAGGAATTAAGTCTCTTATGATTTTTAAAATAAATATATGGGGGAAAAACTAATAATTAAAGATAGCCAATAGCTTGTTTTCTAAATTCACTTCTTTTATGTGAGTAGTGATATACAAAGTAGGTATTCACTTGGTGGGTGTGCCGTTTAGTCTGTTCATTCATTAATAGTCTAAGAAAATTGGCCCTGATGATCACAAGTTTCCATATTTACAGGAAGATAACTAAAGCTGGCCATCCATTTCTCTAATCTATTTCATCACGGAGTTCTTTTAAATATTCATTTATAGCAGCCTTACAAACACCTACCTGATGAGTAACAATAGTTCTTTAATAACATCATCTACCATTTATCTGGTATTATATAACAGATCTTGTGCTATGGGCTTAATAAATTCATTGAGGCCTCAACAACACTATGAAGTAGATATTATACCTATTTTATAGATGAGATTGAAACTCAAAGAAATTAAATAACTTGCTCAGTATTACATAGCTTATGCATGGCAATCAGTTTAAACCAAGGCTACATTCAAGAGCGTGAGTTTCTCCTTTCCCTCCTTTTTTTTCTGCTTTGTTTCATTTTATAAAATTGTGGTAAAGTGTAACAAAATTTGCCATTTTAACAATTTTTAAATGTTTAATTCAGTGGTATTAATTATATTCATAATGTTATACTACCATCATTACTGCCCATTTCCAAAATTTTTCAGCATTCCACACAGAAACTGGATCCTTTAAATTGTATGTTTTTGTTCCCCTCTCTTTTCAACCCCTAGTAACCACTAGTCTTTTTACCTTGATGAATTTGCCAATTCTAAATGTTTCATACAAATAAAATCTCAGTATTTGTCTTGTTTGTATTTTATTTCATGTATGTATCAGTATTTAATCTTCTTTATGGTTGAATAATATTTCATTGTGTGTACCACATTGTATGTTTACCTGTCCATCTATCAGTATACATCTGGATTGTTTATACATTTTGGTATAGCTAATGCAGCTGTGAATCTTGGTGTACCAGCATCTGGTTTGACTCCATTTTCAGTTCCTTTGGATGAATAACTAGGAGTGGCATTGTTGGGTGGGTAGTATAGTAATTATATATTTATCTTCTTGAGAAGCTGCAAACTTTTCTCCACAATAGCTGTATCATTTTATATTCCCACTAGCAATGTCTTCACCAACTCTTGTTTTCCATTTTTTAATTACAGCAACTCTAAAGGGTATGAAGTGGTATCTTATGGTTTTGATTTGCATTTCCCTAGTGAGTAGTGTGGTTAAACATCTTTACATGTAATTGGTAGCCATTTATATTTTTTTCTGGACAATTTCCTATATAAGCCTTTTGCTCACTTTTTAATGGGATACTTGGATTTTTTTCTTTTTCTGAGTTGTAGAAATTCTTTACATATTTTGAATGTGAAATCCTTACCAGAATTATGGAGTTGAAATATTTTCTCCTTTTCTGTGGATTGTCTTCATTCTCTTGCTGGTATCCTTTGGTCTACAAAAGTTTGTAAATTTAATACAATTCAATTTATTTTTTACTTCTGTTGCCTATATTTCTAAGTTGAAATGTATATGTATATTTTCTTCATTGATCCCTTCACTTATGGATAAAGAATCAAGATCTCAACTGAATGTCGTGGCTCATGCATGTAATCCCAGCCCTTCGGAGGCTGAGGCAGGAGGATTGAAAGTTCAAAACCAGCCTGAGCTACATAATAAGACCCTATGTTAAAAAAACAATAAAGATCTAGAACCAGTAATTCATAAATCTGTTAACTAACATTTACTTTCTCAGCTGTGAGTAGAAAACTTATTTCCTCTGTCTGATCTGGGGAAAGTTTATTAGCAGTAAAATTTTGTTGTTTTGAGACAGGGTCTTGCCATGTAATTCAGGCTGGTGTTGAGTTCACTGTGTAGCTCAGGCTGGCCTCAAACTTGCAGCATTCCTCCTGCCTCAGCCTCCCAAGTGCTGGGATTATAGGAGTGTGCCACCACGCCTGGCAATGTTTTTGAAAAGTTGGCAAGTTAATCCATAAACCTACTCAACACCCCCACGCCCTACCCCATTCCTAGGGATTGAACCCAGGGCCTTTGCACTGAGCTACATTCCCAGCCCGTATGTATGTATGTATGTATGTATGTACATAAGTATGTACATATGTATTTAGAGACAGGCTCTCACTAAGTTGCCAGAGTTCCCTAGGCTGGGCTTGTGCTTGCAATCTTCCTGCTTCAGCCTTCCAGAGTGCTGGGATTATAAATGCATGCTACCATGCCCAGCCCTGCCTACTTCAGTTTCTTAATCAGGAGGTAATCATTGTTTTCTGGGGGATCATTTTATAGGCATTGAGTACCCATAGAATGACCACTGTTGTATTGGTCCAAAAAA